TCCTCTAGTGTGCGGGAGTTGCATAATCTCATAGTCGGAGGAATATATATTTGACACGAAGAAAGCAGTAGCAACAAAACTGAACGATCATTATGCTAAGCTAACGGATGGGTCTTTTCCATCACATCATTCCACTAATGATGTGATCCCATTTATCAAATGACAATTCATGTCTATGGCTAGGAAACTTAACCATCTTTGATCAACGAGCTAGTCTAGTAGAGGCATACTAGGGACACGTAGTTTTGTCTATATATTCACACATATATCATGTTTCCGGTTAATACAATTCTAGCATGAATAATAAACATTTATCATGAATAAGGAAATATAAAATAACAACTTTATTATTGCCTCTAGGGCATATTTCCTTCAGGAATAGCTTCTGATATAGGATCTTGAATCTGTTCTTGAGAGCTCCAAATGCCCTCTCAACCGTTACTCTAAGGCTGGAGTGTCTGAGATTGAACAATTCTAATGGAGTCCTAGGGTAGTTCCTACCAGAGAACTCATTCAGATGGTACTAGGTTTTCCTTAAGGGTGAAAGAACACCTGGCCGACATGCATAGCATCTCCTAGGTAGAACTTGTCATCAGGGATGTTGATGCCATCAAGACGTCTGATGTTGTCACTGAGTATGTTAGCATCATGTGCCGATCCTTCCCAGCCAGTTAGCACATAGGTGAACTTCAGATCAAAGTCAACAACAACAAACACATTCTGACTTGTGTAGTGCTTCCCCCCTGAATGCTGCAGTTTCTGACCTCGGCACTCTAGCAGTGATATGAGTACCATCTATTGCTGCAATGCAATCCTAAAATGGCAATACAAGATTGTGTTAGTGCTCATCTTAAACTATCCAAGCATATCAAGCAATGAAATACATACTGCAGTGCTCACCTTGAAGTATGGATACCATCTTGGGCTTATGCAAATCTTGGTAGGAGTCCGGCCAGTTGGTGACTTGATCATCTCTCCTCTGAGCTCCCCATTAGCATACAACACTAGCTTAAAGTACCTTGAGATGGTCTCCATTGACCTGTTGAACGTGTTGTGGATAACCCTGAACCTCTGGTTATGGCCAACAATATGAAGGAACATGGCTTCTCGCTCTTCCACACTGGTGTGGATGCTATCTTCTAGCAGCCCCCCTGGTCCTAAAGGTCTGAACAAGTCTGGCAAATGGTGCTCTTTTCATTCTAAGCATCCACAGAGCCTCTATGTCGTTGCAGTTGTATATGTAGTTCAGATTGGAGATCCTCTCCTACTCCCGCATAAGCATTTGGAGCATATCTGATGATAGGTCTCTCAGCACGACGAACAACTCTCTTGTGCATGAACATGACCCATGCCTGAATTGCAGCTATTAGTGCTTCGGCCTAAAGTACAAGCCACCTCCGTGCGTCCATAACCTAGTCCACATCGAGGGTGCGTTGAGCAATGGGGAAATCGATCCTACACCTTGCCTAATGGCCTAACAATGCACCTAATATAGGGGACAGACGGTGTTGCTTACCGGCATCAGAAACAAGGAAGATGAAGGGGGGCCATGGCTGAGTCAAGGACGACCAGACAGTGGCCGAATGGAAGAGCAGTAGCAGCTCCTACTGCCGGATCTGCTGCCGCCACTGCTGTCATGTCCGCACAGATCTGAGTCACCTTCGCCGGTGGTGGTGAGGCTAGAGGAGGTGACTGTCCTAGAGGTAGCGATGACCGAGTAAATGGGTGAGGGGGGAGGGGTGAGCCTAGATTTGGTGCTGTGTTGCCGCGCCCGATTTCCATCTCCCGCCATCCCCACTCGCTTTCGCCCTACCCCCTGCTTGCGAGCTTGCGCCGCCCTCAGCCTGGCTCACTAGAAACTACCGGCTCGACAGTTTCTAGCGAGCCAGGTCGAGGGCTGCTTTAAGCTTCATGCGAATGCGAGCTAGCCCACTGTGTTTGCAACCAAACACACATTTCGTGGCCCAACTAGGCCTGGTTGCGATTTTGTGGGTAACCAAACGCGGCGTAACTACTTCTATCTACATGCACAATCAACAGCCCACGACCGCACAAGCTACGCCACGATCCACATGCAGCGCCCACTAATACACGTCCACACTCCATGGCTGCCCAACTGCTCGGCCAATGTTGCTGCTCCGCGCGGACGACTGGGCCATCACCAACCGATTGTGATCAAGATTAGTGCTCACAATTAAGCTAAGAGTTTTTTCTTTATTTACTTTTATTAACTATCCAATTGAGATTTACCACTTGAGGCCCATGAAAATATATATCTGGAATTGGGAGGCAATGAGAGAAACATAGAGAAAGGAGAGGAACGCCGCTCGCTACCCGCGTAAGTCCTTCATCGTCCGCACTCATTGTTCATCGCATCCATCTGTCGCCAGCCATCGCCAACTCTCCTCTTTGATTCTGGTCGCGCTTTCACCCCCCCTCACCTCGCCATCTCAGCTGTTGCTGAAGTGGTTGTCGACCTAGCTCCTAGAAGAAAAGTGGTGCCATCGTCCAGCGGAGACCGATCCGGCCAACATCTGGTGCGTGGGGCAGCCCCTGACGGGGCCTCACCTGACTGGTTGGTGGCGGCTCTCCATGCTCGCCGGATGGCCCTCCCTTTTCCCACACTAATGGTAGCGCCGTGTCTTCACATTTGTGATGTTCCGCACGGTGTGTGGCAGTGGGTAATAGTTATCCTCCAGTATGGTGCTTGCGATGCCCCGTTACGTCGGAAGGAGTCAGGCGTAATGGTAACTGTCACTTTAGAGTCGTGCCAGGATCAGTTGAGGATAATAGTATCATGTACAATATGGAACTACCACCATGAGTAGGAAGACTTCTATTACAATGACACCTCAAGTGTCTACTATGTCTAAGCATTCACGATGATAGAACATCGCCGGCTCCTAATACGAGCCTTATAGACTAACCATATTGGGGATCTACTCCTCATATTTTATACAATATGGCAGTTCTTTCTTTCTTTTTTGTACCATGGCAAATTTTTGTCTTTTTCTAAAGTTGTCGTATTTTTTGGAGAACATTCCTAATTTTGGCATGTGCTCGTAGAAAATTTCTACATTTGCCATCTTTTTGAAAGAAGAAAATCCCTAAATTTGCCATCTTCATCAAAGAACAAAACCCCTAAATTGTCCATCCTTTTTTCAAAGAACAAAAATCCTAAATTCTCCATGTGCCCATGATGAATCCCTAAATCCTCCATGTCCGCACTAAAAAATCCCAAAAAGTCACCATGTTTTCTTAGGAACAAACTTTCCTAAATTAATATTGTGCAATTTCATTGCAGGTAACATGGCACCTTTTTCTTATTTTAGAGCTTGACAATTTTATTAGTTAGACTTTGTGCAATTTCACAATAGGCAACGTGGCATTTTTATTAGTTAGACCATGGCAATTTTATAAATCATACCGGGGTAGTTTTGTTGTATGTAGTATCGTAATCCATTTTTTAGACCATGGCAATATTAATATGTAGGCCATGGCAACTTTATTAATCAGACCATGGTAGCTTTATTATATGGAGCATGGCACTTTTACTATTTTGAGTATGGAAATCTTATTTTTTTACACCATGGCAATTTTATTAATTATACAGCGGTAGTTAACTGTAAGTACCATTGCATTTTTCTTTTAAGATCATGGTAGTTTATTTCATAACTTACATGACACTTTTTTATTAATTAGACCATGGCAATTTATTAATTAGCTTATGATAGTTTCACAATACGGAACATGGCATTTTATTAGTTAGACCATAGCAATTTTTTAAATTAGCTTATGGTAGTTTTATTATCAGTAGCATGATAAATATATTACTTAGACCGCGGAAAGTTCATAAATCAGACCATGGTAATTTTCTAAATGTATCATGAAAATTTCATTATTTAGTTCATGCATTTTTAATTAGACCATGGCAAATTTGTTAATTAGACCATGGTAATTATTTTGTAGTTAGCGTTCACATGGAAAATTACACATCGTGGAAAATTAGAGCTTTTTACATGACTATTTTCAGAATTTTTCATTTTATTTTTTTGCCATTTTTTATGAAAACATTTTTTTGATATATCTTCTATGTGATGGGGACTACAAATATTTTTCAAAATTTTCCCTGTCTACAAAACAATTTCCTCTTAATTGCCTTGTGACTATTTACAATTTCTTTTTTAAAAAATCTGGCCATTTTTTACTTTTCATGACCCTGGCAAGTTTTGTACACCCCTGTGTAAATTCAAACTTTTCCGGGCCATGGCAAATTGCATCGCTGGACGTTGGCTAGTTTTAGATCCATGGCAAATTTGCGTCACTAGACCACGGCAAATTTTAAGCACTCACTAGTTTCTTAGACCAAGTTCATGGCAACAGATTTGCATTGAATTTCCATAAACTGTGTGTCAACATCATGGCATATTATGAACTTGCTGTAGTATAACTTTTTTTTACAAGCATGTCATTTTTTGTTCATTAGGTATCACACACTTGTTTTTTCTAAAATATGTGGTAGTTTTATTCACTAGAGCATGGTACTTTCACTCTTTTCTTCCCATCATTTTTATGAAACAATGGCAAATTAGGACATCCCTTTTTGTGTATAGACATCACGGCTACCTTTTATCTGTAGACATGCCAAACTATTGTATGAACATACCCCCGCTAACTAGTCATTTTGCATTATCAAGCCATTGTAAATCTAATTTTGTTAAGGCATTTTTTATCAGATCCATTTGAATATCCACAGGTGACGTCATTTGATGCCCAAGTGGATATAGGCACACGGAAGCGTCCGTTATTTTTCTCTCCTGGGCAAAAAGGCAAAAACCGAAGCCGACGCACGAAGCCGTTGCCTTCCCGCCATTCCCTCCCCGCCTCCCTTTTAGCGGCGCCCCCCAAATTCCTCGGCGCACGCGCCCAATGCCTACCTGGGAACCATCCCCAAGTTCCCGGCACGTTCCGCTCGCCGGCGAGCACCCCCCGCGCCGGCAATGGGCATGTGCTGCCGGTGGTTCCGGAAGTCCCATCCCGCGGCCTCTGGCTCGTCCCGCCCCGACGGCGGGAGCTCCGGCGGGCCCTCCTCCGCGTCTCCGTCCACCGCACCGCAGCACGTCAAGCCCCCAGCCCCGATCGGCCCCGTCCTCGGCCGGCCCATGGAGGACGTCAAGAGCATCTACAACGTCGGCAAGGAGCTCGGGCGCGGGCAGTTCGGCGTCACGTCGCTGTGCACGCAGAAGGCGACGGGCCAGAAGCTGGCGTGCAAGACCATCAGCAAGCGGAAGCTGTCCACCAAGGAGGACGTGGAGGACGTCCGGCGGGAGGTGCAGATCATGTACCACCTGGCGGGCCAGCCCGGGGTGGTGGAGCTCAAGGGCGCCTACGAGGACAAGCACGCGGTGCACCTGGTCATGGAGCTCTGCGCCGGCGGCGAGCTCTTCGACCGGATCATCGCCAAGGGCCACTACACGGAGCGGGCCGCCGCGGCTCTCGTCCGCACGATCATGGGGATCATCCACACCTGCCACACCATGGGCGTCATCCACCGCGACCTCAAGCCCGAGAACTTCCTCCTCCTCAGCAAAGAAGAAAACGCGCCGCTCAAGGCCACCGACTTCGGCCTGTCCGTCTTCTTCAAGGAGGGCGAGGTGTTCAGGGACATCGTGGGCAGCGCCTACTACATCGCGCCGGAGGTGCTGAAGCGGAACTACGGGCCCCAGGCCGACATCTGGAGCGTGGGCGTCATGCTCTACATCCTGCTCTGCGGCGTCCCGCCGTTCTGGGCGCAGTCGGAGCACGGCATCTTCAACTCCATCCTGAGAGGGCAAGTGGACTTCAACAACGACCCGTGGCCGCGCATCTCCGGCGGCGCCAAGGACCTGGTCAGGAAGATGCTCACCTCCGACCCTAGGAGGAGGATTTCTGCACACGACGTCCTCAGTAAGCGTGTCATCATCTCTGAATTTCAGCATGCTCTGCATCTGAAACTCTGCAAGCTGCACCCATACATGTTTGCAATATTATTATTTTCTTTCGCTGTTTAGACCATCCGTGGATCAAAGAGGACGGCGAGGCGCCCGACACGCTGATCGACAACGCTGTCCTCGGCAGGCTCAAGCAGTTCAGAGCTATGAACCAGTTCAAGAAGGCCGCGCTAAGGGTGCTTACTTACTTTGTGATCCTTTTTCAGTCAAGCCAGTTGAACAAGTCTGAATTCTGAAAGCTCAAGGAATGGTGGTTGGCAGGTGATCGCTGGGTGCTTGTCGGAGGAGGAGATCAGGGGGCTGAAGGAGATGTTCAAGAGCATGGACTCGGACAACAGCGGCACCATCACCGTGGACGAGCTGCGGAAGGGGCTGGCCAAGAAGGGGACCAAGCTCAGCGAAGCCGAGGTCCAGCAGCTGATGGAGGCTGTAAGCAGACCAAAAACTATCGTTTGAATTCGATTTACAGAGTTGGCGCCTTGGGTTGCCGCTTAATAATTACGTGATGGGTGGTTGCAGGCGGACGCGGACGGGAACGGCATGATCGACTACGACGAGTTCATCACGGCGACGATGCACATGAACAGGATGGACCGGGAGGAGCACCTCTACACCGCCTTCCAGTACTTTGACAAGGACAACAGCGGGTACATCACGATCGAGGAGCTGGAGCAGGCCCTCAAGGAGAAAGGCCTGATGGACGGCCGGGACATCAAGGACATCATATCGGAGGTCGATGCCGACCACGTAAGTTCACTCGCGACGCTTCTCGCCTGCTGCTGCTCTTGCTCTGTTCATGCTGTGACAATGTTGGAAGATGCCTGGGTGATCGTTTGCAGGACGGGCGGATCAACTACTCGGAGTTCGTGGCGATGATGAGGAAGGGGGCCCCGGAGGCGGCCAACCCCAAGAAGCGCCGCGACGTCATGCTCTAGCGAGCCGAGCCACCTCGATCAGGCAGGCAGGGAGGACGAAGAAGGATGTCAGGATGGCTATGCCGTAGTACGTCCTTGCAGTTGCAAACAAGGACCGGCCGTTTGGCCTGGGCCACTTGAATCGATCGTGGTAGGTTAGGCACGCAGCACTGCAGCAGGAGGCGCAAACAAGAATATATGCAGGACAGGGGAGGGACGATGATACCAACGCATACGCATGCTTTGGAAGAGGAAATTAGGACGTGCAGATCAGCCAGGAGCGCTGGAATAGTATAGTTTTTCAAATTGACTAGCACAGTTGCCATGGGAACCATCTTTAGTGTATTTTACAAATGTAAATCATGTACTTTTATCTTATAGTACATACATAATGCTTTTCTGCGTATTTACCCCCTTTATTGCAAAATACACGGTATTTAGACATGGTGTATACACCTGGACACATATCAAACTACTCCGCAATCTGATCATCCGCTAGATCAATTGTCCATGATACCCATTTTGTGCATGTTTATGCAAATAATCTCATATGCATGCTCATATCCTTCTCATAAAAAGAATATAGGATTGCGCTGAGATTCTTGGCCCCATCACTTACAAAAAATTAACTTCTTAGCAAATAAACGACAATGACGCCCTTCAGCGCTTTAGGAAATAAATATCATTTACACATTCCTCTACCAATCCTCATGTTGGTGCCCAATACTCCTCAACCATTTATCTTAGCGTCCACCCCTGGGTAAATCCCTATGTTGTAGATACTCATTTTATATAGGAAATAACTAGCAAAAGAGCACGTGCGTTACAACGGAAGAAAAAAAATATACCACACTTCCTAATCAAATAGGCATGACTCAAGATCCCAGTAGGTTCACATTCTTTATTTCAACACATGGCATCTCGTCTGTGTTGCTACTTATCCTCCTTCTTCCTAGTCTCGCCGACGGTGGACCCAGTGCTCACATAATCACAATGGGTTTGAATGTTGGCAATCCTAAGGCGTCTCTCACTGCATAAGATGAGAAGTCTGTTTTTTGTGTTTTGTAGAGGCCTGCATGCATTGTTATAAATGGTTTCTTTCGTCTCCAATCTTGGTTTTGACCAGTGTTCATTTCCAATCCGGATTGGCACCAGTATGAAAGAAAAATGGATCATGTGCTATCGATTAAGGTTGCACCATAAATAGCATTTTTAAAATGGTTAACATGTAAAATAACATCATATTGAGATTCTACACATTTTTGTGATCAGATTCCATATATAACATGTTAAATTTGGAGTTAGGGTTTAAAAGCTATGAATATTTTTAGAAGACATTTGATATGTACCGGGGGGTGATTAACCCAAATATCAAGAGATTTCCTACAAAAGCGAAAATCTGACTTAAAACTGGTCTGCGAGTTGATTACCAGAAAGTCAGAAACATCAGGGGTTTTATGCAAAAGCAAAAAACTGACTTAAAACTGAACGATCGATTAATTTCAGAAACATAAGGAGGTTTTCTGTAAAATAGCATGATGGATTAAGAATTTCTATTTGATTTATTAGTAGGTATAGATATGCTAGGAGAATTGGCTATGATATTTGTTATAGGGGTCAAATCGTGTGTCTATACACTTCACTATATTATGAGTTGTGTGTGTGGTGAGAGCTAAGATGTTTAAACTAAGTGCAACATGTACTTGAAGTTTATATTCCAACTAAAAAATTACATATATACATGTGCACGATATATGAGATCTATTTAAGTGGAACGATGATGATCTATCATTTGTGGTTTATTTATTTGTTGTAATGAGGATTTACCATTTATGATTTGCTTACATGTGATTATAAAGATATGGAGAATCCATTCTTGTAAATACTTATTTTTTTGGGATCCATCTAAGTGCATCTAAGGATGACCTATATGTTATGAAGAATTCATTCATCGGTAAGTCATTCCTTACAATTAATAGTTGAAAATTGGACGGGAGTGTGGAAACCACAAAAGGAACATGGGGCCCATGCTGGAGACTAGATTTCAAATTTTCTATATTTTTTGAGTTTCAAAAATATAATCTGATTTGGAGTTTCGAATAGCCCTTTTTAACTAGTTCTCACTGAAGGGACCCCTGGTCGCCTCTCTAGTGGCTCGGGGAAGAAACCTTAGCCGCCGCCACTACCTCCTCCTGTTCCTTCTTGTCTCGCCGCCGCTGAAGACCCCTACTCATTCAAGCCTATGTTGGCCCCAAGGAAAGCAGTGGCAGGGCAATTCCCTGTCGACACGATGCAGGTGAGCGGTAAGGTGTTGAGCGGTGTAGAGGCTTCTCCAGGTGGCAAGGCGGTAGATCCACTATTGCAGGAATGCCTAGTAGTGGCGGGTGCAAAAAGCCAGGCAGTCGCCGGCCAGACTCTCAAGGCAGCCCGCCTCTGACCTCCCACCACTTCAAATATGGCATCAGTGGCGGGCACACGCCCATCACTGGTACATTACTTCCAGTGGCGGGCATATTTACTGACAGCCATACATCATTGTTGTTGCCCGCCATAGATGTCATGTTTGCAGTGGCGGTTGTTCCTTAGCACCCGCCACTGAAGGGATAGGCTCAAAAGAGGACACCAATCATTGGCATTGTGCGTTGACAAAATATTACTTACAGAAAGTTAATTCACATAGTGATATGATTCTCAATATAACCGAACCGGACTTAATTATTTTTGGAAACAAATGACAAATGAATTAAGTAACACTTCAAATTTGTTCGACTTAAGAAACAAACATCAATATATCACATCCATCTTAGCACACTAACTAACAGTTCATCAACTAATATATTCATGATTTAGACCTTATTTCTAAACATGGTCAGTGACCACCATCATCTGCAAGTCGTTGCGGTTGCTCTTCCTTATGGTGATTATCACAAGTGTGTCGACCCTTAGTTATATTGTTGCTGTCATGAACTCCCGCCAACCGGAATCATAGAAGGATATGCGCCCGTCTGATTCCGTCTTGTATAGAACGTTGGTGACACGCCCTGTTGGTCCATGGCGTACTCCAACGGCGCCACGGTGGGGATGTCCACTCCGGAAACATCTTCATAGGTAACTTCTGAAATCCCCATCATTAAGAGCAAATAGAGAGCACACAATGTGAGACATCTCACCATACTTGGTTATGAACATAAAAGGATGAAACAATACAAAACATCTCACCATGACTTTTTTGACGATGTTGGTTTTAGTTAAACGGTGCACAAAGGGATTCCCCAAAAAGGCCACACTGGATGGTAACATCGTGATGAAATTCAAGGTCTCCTCCTGAGTAAGCTTGTTCATACTTTGAGAGAAAATTGCAGAATTGAATGGACCATCCTCATCATCTTGCTCAACCTCGTCATTATGGTTGTCGTCATCATCCTGAATGTCCTTGTTATCTTGGCTGCTTCCATCATCCTCTGTCATCCTGGCTATCTTCATGATCCTGGTCATCATCATCTTCTTCATCAACCTCATCATGGTTGTTGGAGAGATACAATGTCCTTAACCTGTTGACCGCTTCTTTCAAGGAAAAGGCTATGTACTCTCTTCCGATGAAATTATTATGTGCAATGTACTACTTCCATCCATCGCCATATATGATGGTTCTGCCCTTTAGTTTACGTACATCCAGTTCGAATGTGTGCTCCTCATCAACCTTAAAGTACATAACGTTATCATATAAATTGTCGAAGTCAACCCTTATGTTGCATGGGATACACTATGCAACGGTTAATAATTAACAATAGAGTCAGTAAAAGAATTATACAAATGGTTAGAATTGAATACTAATTGAAGTTAAAGACTATTATCACTAATTAAATCCCTTCTTCAAGAAGAGGTCGAATTGTACTACAGTTTCCATACTGTCCATACATGGACATTTGCACATATGGCGGATCTTACGCCTCATGATCCCTAATAATCATTGTGAAGCACTTACCAATTATAAATGGTTGACATGAATACTAACTGATGAAAGTAATATTGAGAAGGGAAGCTGTCTAAGAAGGGTCCGGGAAAATTTGGCATGACCTTTGTTGAATATTGAACATACAGAGTGACGGGAATTTGGTGAAACGGAAATGAATTAATGTTTCGCCAAAACTTTGTCAATTTTTAAAATCCCTGTGAATAACATGCTAAGCCCATGCACTTGTCATATGTAAGAAAATTCCGCTCAATTCCATTCATATGTAAGCAAATTAAATAATATTGTCATAGCTAAGCTTACGAAACGTGAACTTTGCTTAAAACATTAACATATTGAGTGACAGAAATTTGGCGTTACGAAAATGAATCAATGTTTCGCCAAAACTTTGTCACTCTTTCAAATCCCTCTGAATAACACGTTAAGCCCATGTACTTGTCATATGTAAGAAAATTCAACTCAATTTGAATCACATGTAAGCAAAATAAACAATATTGTCATAGCTAAACTTACAAAGTAATATCGAACAATGTGAGATATTACAATGCCACGCATATTGAGTGACAAAAATGAAATTTGGCATGAACTTTGCTTAAAAAGTTAACATATTGAGTGATGGAAATTTGGTGTAACGAAAATGAATCAACGTTTCGCCAA